ACCCCAAACCCCACTTTCTACCCTTCCTGTGCTGGGGATGAGAGGGCACCTCAGTGTCTGTCTGATGACTGAGCCTATTTCCTGATTTATTCTGAACTGTTGGGTGGCGCGAGGGAACAGGGGGAAATGGGTATTAGCTCCTCAGGCCCCAATTGCACGCACTTCTGGATTTTAGTGGAATGAGGTGTTGCTCATGAGAGAGGGAAGGAGCACCAGGAAAGCATAGTGAATGTGCTCTGAAACTTTCACTTGACATGCCCTTCGGTCCCCCAAACCCTCTCCAGGGGGAGACTGGCAGTGGGATTGACAGCTGTGTTAATCACGTTTTTCATTTTCTCTGGCATATGATTTTTTTTTTTTTTTTTTTTGGCTGGGGAAGATTTGCCCTGAGCCAACATCTGTTGCCAATTTTCCTCTTTTTTTTTTCTCCCCAAAGCCCCAGTGCATGGTTGTAAATCCAGTTGTAAGTCCTTCTAGCTCTTCTATATGAGCTGCTGCCACTGCATGGCTACTGACAGATGGGTGGTGCGGTTCTGTGACCGGGAAATGAACCCGGGCCACCAAATCAGAGAGCGCGCCAAACTTGAACCACTAAGCCATCAGAACTGGCTCTAGAGTATGATGTTCTGACATCTTAAGAAGTTTACAGGCTCAGGAGAGGCTGCCTCTCCCAGGGATAGGACTTCCTCAGAGATGGCAAAGGGCTTAGAGCACATCCCTCAAACAAACCCAACCCATGCGCAGCCTAGAGCCCCCTCACGCCCTAGAGCTTAACCTCATATACCAGCCACCACCATCCCCGCCTAACTCACCCCAGGACAGCGCCCCGACAGCCTGAAGCCCCCCAGAACCATTCACAGCAGCCAAAGCCAGGCTGTTCACCATGGAAACCCCAACAAAGGCGCAGGCCTGACTGTCCCCTGGTCCTGCTTCTGTGTCCCTGACCGAAGCCTGGCACTTCCCTTGCAGCCCTGCCTGGTGTGAGCTGACCGCTCCAGGACTTGAGAATAGAATCAACTTCCTCTTTCCCAGCTGTGTTCTCATCTCCTCCTGTGACCACACCAACTACACTGGGCCGTGTCCACAAGTTCATGCTTAGAGCACCGGCCTCTCCAGGAAGCAGCATAGTCAGCCAGCGGCACCACTACCTGCTGGCGAGGGGACAGGTGACAGGCAGGGAGAGGGCAGAGGCATTGATACACACCCTATGAGGAGGAAGGGACCGCCTGCCTCAGAACTCATAGCTGGAGGGACCCTCAGGAGTCATCAAACTCCTCATTTGCAGATGGGCCACCCACCCTGGCCTCGTGGGCAGTGCTGGAACCTCCCCAGCCCCTGTGAGCACATTTCCGAGAGGACGCCTGCCTGGTGCTCCGCTGCAGAGAGGGGGAAAGACGAGCAGCCGCTGGACAGATTCCAGGATCACTGGCACTTCCAATGATTTATTTCATCTTGGCATAAACAGACAGACATATGAGGTTTTACAGTATTTGTGCCTGGGACTTAAAACCTGAAGCATTAATAAATACATTAACCACACAGACAAGCATCAGTGGCCCAGACTGTGCCTTAAACAGTCAGGTTGGTCTTTAACAAATGGCAACACTGCAGTAAGGTTTAGAGCTTTAAAACGCTTTGGAGGAGCTTTAATCTCACACGAGGACACATCTAGCCTTTTATTTCAATTCATTTCAAACCAATTCACTAAGCATGGAGAAAGAGCCTGCCATTGCCAGCTCCTGTGCTGAGAGCAGGGGCCGAGTGGTCCAGGCATCCTCCTGCATGTGGAAAAGGTGGAGAAGGCAGCTGCTGACATAAATTCAGAAGCAACCAAAACACTTGCACATCTCCATTTTTAGCTCTTTATCTTCTCATATGAATAATATTGCAGAGGAAAGGGGAAAATAAGAACTTTGATTTTTTAAACACCAAAATGAAACATTTTGTAAGCTAGGAAAGCATCTAAAATAAGACAGAATACAAAATACCACTTTTGTTTACATTCGACCCACGAAGCTGTTACAACAGATTGCGTCCTCAAACTGTCTTGACTTTAGGAAAAAGCAAAGACCTCAGAAACATTCCATTTCAAAATCTTTTACAGGAAGTTACCCAAGAGACCCACAGATTAAACAGCTGCCACCAGAATTACTAAAGTGACACCAGAAGTTAACAGAAATGGAGCAGATGATTCATTTCTTACTTATTTGTAGCAAAACAGATACAGGTAAGAGGTTTAACTAAGTAGCAAAAGAATTTCCACAGCATTGGTTCTCTTAAAGGAAAAGGTGCCACCATAGACGCAGAAATCACATCAGCAACTTCCAAATCCAGCTCCATAAAGCTGCCAAGAGTCAACACTAGCATGGGGGTTGTTTCCAAGACCAGAAATAAAAATAGAAAGAAAATGAAGACATCTTAAGCCCCTTCCTTTGGGTTCCAAATGGACCTTGATTGACAATACAAAAGTCATTGCTTGTCAACTAACCAAAAGATCAAGCTTTCGTGTATACCAGTTTCCTCTTAAAATGCCACTGCTCTTTCAAATATTTGGAAATGTCAGTGTGTGTGGGTTGCTTAATTTTTTGAGAATTATGGATGGATGTCATAAATGCATTAGCTTCATTTGACTCTTGGCTGATTGACGATCAGGAATATTTTGCACCAACTGTTTTTCTAAATAGTATCAGACTTAGAACCTCATACTGAATATGTAAAGACCCTTCCTTGGAACATCAGACCTTCAGGGGCCAGTCTCAGCAATGACAGCCCACTCTCCCCTCCCCACCCAGCAGTCCTCCAAATCAACTATGGTGGAGGGGGTGGCTTTTCTTTTTCATTGGTGCAAACCCTTGTGGCTCCACGATCCAGGTACTGGCCCCAAAAAGCAAAATAAAGTGGTCCTCGTGGCATGCCAGGTCCTCTAGTATTTGTTTTTATGTGATCTTACTCCTTAGAAATACAATACCTAATAGTCTATATCCTTTCACTTATCCTGAGGTTTCCTGTGTATTTCATTTGACAAATCCCTGGGATTCGGAGCCCAGTTCCCACAGGAAGTGATGCTATGTCTGGCACAGGCATTCCTTTATCAAATTAAATGAAAAAATAATATACAAAAACTCCAGTTGGGCGTGCTAGTGTGTGGCTGTCCACACCTGACATCAATATTTCTCATATTCTCTTAAGGGAACCATTTTACTCTGGAAACCCACTTTCAGCATTTTAAACGGTAAACATCATAGGAATGATTCCTCAAGTAAATCACAGTGATACTAGTTCATGAATTTGATATTTAAGGAATGAAAATATTAGCCTGGTTCTAGTTCATATAAAAGTTGTGGCATAAAGTTCTAGAGAAAAATGTACTACAACACGAAATGTACATTTTTTTAAAAGAACATGATTTGTTTCCTTTTGCTATAAGTTCTTTCTCTACCACCATTTCCCTGTCTACTGCTATAAAAGGCCAATCACGTCAGGCACTATGAAGTCTGTTTTTCTTTCCTAAGATGATTAACCAGGGTGCCAAGATATCCCTCAGTTCATGAGCAGTCAGAGCAAGCACACAAGTCCCCAGAATATACTCCAACTGAAGCCGTGAATGCCATTCCTCTGGCACATGCATAAGATTCAAGCCGATCATTTCTAAACATACTTATCTGACAACTGTCATAACCACAGACTCTTCAAAAAGCATAACCTATTTCCAAATTACCCACCGATTGCTACAGAGATGTCAACTCCTACCACTGGGTTAACAACTAAATAACAGTAAGGTATGCATGATTTCATCTAATTATGTTCCAGTAACTTTCAATGTATACTTTTCCTATTGTAATCAAGAAATGGATTAGATTCAGAATCCAAATCAGCTTTCCTGTAGTTGTGAGCATATATTTTATCCTTAAACTCTTAATATATAGTGAACCCTGTCTATATATATTTGGAAAGTAAAATGTCATAACAAATGAGGGAAGACTAATTGATTTGTTTTCAATCCTTGTGGCCTGTCAAAGTAATAAGTTTCATGTTAATTCTATTAGGGCACTTTGGAATTCACAATTAGAAAAATGTAGTTTACTTGCTAAACTACATTATAACTATATGTTATTTCCCTTTATGTCAATATGCTCATTGTCACTCTGCCACATTTTCTTAGAATGATGCTTTTAAAAATTAATTTCTCTCAGCAGAATTACATAATACATATTTAAAACATCATAAGTCATGGGTTCAGAATGTGTCTGCATGCTTGTCTTTAGGACAAGTCTTTAGGACTGTCAAAAAAATTATTTTAACCTTTTTTTTTTTTTGGAATAATACTCTCTTTCAGCCTATTATAAAATATGGAAGTGGTTGAGCATATACAATCGCTATCAAAGGTTCCTTTTAAAATAGACAAGCTCCCTTGCTGGTCAGCTTTTCCTATTCATGACATGCTCTTTGGTAAACACTTAGTCACCAAAGACTTAAAATTCAAATAATAGTAAATCATTACTCTACCATTGAATATAATTATTAACATCCTTTAACTTGAAAATGTAAACCCATCCCAGTTCAACAGTGAGATGGAACTGCTCTTGAGGGGTGTGTGTGTGTGAGACCCCATTCATGGTATCTATGGCACAGTAGAGGAAATACTTCCAATGTGTACTGGACGGGAGATCATATTGGTAATCAAAGATTTTGCCTTTAATGCTTATTGAATTTGGAATTGAGCCAACCAAACTTGAACACCTGGTGGCATGAACTTTTAAACTGAGTTAGAACGGTTTTAAGAGCTTAACTTATTAGTTATAATTCTAAACCTCAAGCCAAAAAACTATGACCTTCTTTCAGTGGTTCCACTAATAGAGTTCGAGTTGGCCTACTTTAGGGTCTCGACTCTGGCGCAGCAGCCCGAGGTGCCTGCGGCACCTTCTCATCACACAGTATGCTGCGGTTCTGCCAGAGGTCAAGCCTGGGCTCTTCGCCACTCCACTCCACACCGGAGCGTGAGTGCACCCTAGCACGCCCTGAGCACACCCCAGTAAACCCTAGGTACATCCTGAATACATCTTGGGTACCCCCTGGGTTCACTCTGGGACCCACCCACTGTACCTTGAAGCTTAATCTTTTGATTCCATTGCCCTACTCCCTCGGGTATCCTGTATCTTATCTGCAAAGTTATCTATTTGCACATATCCTACATCTTACACCATCGACCCCATTAAGCAAAGCGAAGCAAAAAGGAATGCAGAATAGGGAAGCAGACCTTAAAACAGCATTGCAGAAAGTCTTCAAGGCCCACGACAAGCTTCCAACCTCAAAGCATTTAACGGATCCCGGTGGCCAGCGGCCCACCCACGACTCTCTCCCTCCCCTCCTCCGCTCCCTTCGCCCCCTTCCCAGCTGGGACCTCAGCCCACGGGGCGCTCCTCGTCCCAGGGCTGCCCGAGGAGACGCCCAGGTGACCCTGGCCCGCCCTAGGCGGCGCCCTCCTCGCCTCTGTCGGGCTTCTCCTCAGGCAAGTTGAGGACGAAGGGGAAGAGCACGCCCCGGGCATCCCAGGGGGTTCGGAGGGACTCGGGCTCGAAGCTGCCGCCGGCGTCTGCGTCCCCGCCGGGCTCGCCATCCTGGGGCGGCACGAAGCGCCAGGTGCCAGCGCGGCCCACGCAGTAGATGGTGCCGTCCAGGGCCGCGCAGCGGAAGGGCTGTAGGCCCGACGGCGCGCCCGGGGGCCTCAGGTGCGAGGCGCAGCGGCTCCACTGCTTGGCCAGGCAGTGGTAGCGGAGCACGCTGACCCCTCCGGACCCGGCCGCCGCCTGCGCGTCGCCGCGGGCCCCACAGAGGTCGAAGCGGTAGATGAAGCCGTCCAGGGCCACCATGTCGGCCGAGCGCTCGCGGCTGCTGCTGCACGGGCACTCCTGCCACTCGTCGCGCCGCGGGTCGTACTTGAGCAGGCGGTAGAAGAGCGAGCCCCCGGACACGTAGATCTCGCCGTTGCAGGTGGTGGCCTCGTGCGCTACGGCGAAGGCACCCCGGGGCAGCGGGGCCACGGAGGCCCAGCGGTCGGCGCGCGGGTCGTAGCGCTCCACGCTGAGCAGGCACTCGCCGCCCACGGCGTACAGGTGGCCGTCCAGGGCCAGCAGCTGCAGCTGCGAGCGCGCCTGGCGCAGCGGCCGCACGGCGCTCCAGCTGTCGGTGGCCGGGTTGTAGCAGAAGACCTGGTCGGACGGGCGCGCGCGGCCGTCGGGCCCCGC